TGATGCTGGTGTTGAGCTGATTAAATATATATTTGATGAGAGAATTCACAGGATGTTTTTGTGTGTATTCTGTGACATATCCAAAGCCTTCGATTGTGTTCACCATGAAACATTAATCAGGAAACTTCCACACTACGGTGTAAGAAGCGATGCTCTTAAATTAATTATTTCATATTTAAGTGACAGAACGCAAAAAGTTGTCATTATTAGTACGAATTCTTCCGGGTCGATTGTACAAATGGGCGTGCCTCAGGGCTCAATTCTCGGCCCTTTTCTATTTCTAGTATATATTAATGACTTACCTTATATAGTAGGGGATAACTATGATATAGTATTATTTGCTGATGATACTTCATTAATTTTCAAATTAAAACGACAGTTATTAGATTACGATGAAGTAAATAATGCTATAGCTAAGTTAGTCAATTGGTTCAATGGCTCCCCCATATATCAAAACTAGCTAGCAGACTTAGTTCTGCAGCATATGCTGTGAAAAAGATTAGAACTCTTACCAGTGTTGAAACAGCTAGAATAGTTTACTTTAGTTATTTCCATAGCATTATGTCGTATGATATTTTGCTATGGGGACACGCGACTGACACTGAAATTATATTTATTTTACAGAAGAGGGCCATTAGAGCAATATATAATTTAAAACCAAAAGATTCATCTGAGACAAAAATTTAAGGAAATTAATATATTAACTCTGGCCTCTCAAAACATTTATGAAAATGTAATGTACGTACACAAAAATAAAAGTAGTTTTGCAAAAATAAGTGATATTCATTCTGTAAATACTAGGAACAGACACAAGCTAGTAGTACCAGTTACTCGACTCCACCGAGTCAGTAATTCATTCTTGGGGCGATGTATACGCTTTTACAACAAAATCCCAGAAAATATACAAAATTTGTCATACACTAAGTTCAAAAATGTTATTAAACTAAGTTTCTATAAAAAGGGTTATTATAATATTAAGGAATTTATGGATGATAATAACCCCTGGGAAGGGTGATCGCTACCTAGCTATTTCTAATTTGTGTTGTTTATTGTAAACATTATTGTAAGCTATTATTGGGAAAAAAATAGTCCCGCTGAGTTTCTTGCTGGTTCTTCCCAGGAGAGAGGTTTTTTTTGCGAACCAGTGGTAAATGAAAAAAGTGACTTTCAATAAGTATTGTCATAATCTATATTGAATAAAAAAGTTTCTGTTTCTGTTTCTGTTACCCTTAAGTAAGAAAGGGTCTCCGTTTCTCCACACTCGCCAAACAAAACGCAACATTAATAGTAATTAAAATAAATAGTGACTACCTCAAATCTAAATATTACTACATTATTAGATGCTACTTAGTAGAAGCCAAAGTACATCGATTGTTTTATTATAAAACAAATCTACTTGTAACCTGTCACTTTACGTTTCTACCCACTAATATATTATTTTTTTTTTTTTTTTTTTTGTGAAAAGTGAATTTCCTTTGACTTACACCACACGCTTTGAGGGTACGTGGTTCCAAAAATTCCTGTACAAATAGCAGTTTGTCATGAATATTAAAATAGTTTACGCTTTTTTGGCAAATTGTCAGTTATTTTAAAATAACGCAATGCATTTTGCGATATGTAACTTTATTTTGGCTGGAACTGCTCTTTTTGCCCATTACGGTATAGAAAGCGAGGTGTACACACGAACCTCGCCATGTTGTAGTGACGCACGGTTATATGTAAGAGAATTCACTAACCCATATCATCCTATCGATATCGTAAGAGGGGACACAGGGAAATAAAACAGGAAAGGAGGGCACCGTCTTTTATATAAGAAGGTAAGAGATCAAATATAGTACGTGAGGGTAATATGGTCATGCGGTTAATATGGTCACTTCTTTATAACTCAAAAACTACAGCCTTGTTTGCTTACATGACTTTGTGATACGATAGCTCTTCATCAGTCAATCAAATAATAAAGAGTTAAAAGGGCGCTGCTTTATCGACGCCATTTTGAGTTTACACTATAGTAAATATTTTAGTCGATTTTAGTACGGTGCTCTGTAGTTAGTTTTTTAAGTTGATTTTATTTATTTTTTGTGTTGCTAATTATTTCCAAAGCTTATTTGCTATTTTTTTTCTTAATATATTAGTTATACGACGATATGTTTTTGTCTTTGAACTCTTCCTAGTTTTGCTTTTATAGGGCGAAAAATCTTAAGGTATATAATATGGGTATATTACCCTCACGTATATCACGTGATAGTAAGATTTTAAAAGGAACTGGAAGTTTTAGACTATAAGTTATATTTTCGAATCTGAATGATAGAGTGAGAAATTGTGTGATAAGAGAAAAGTGTGACTTGAAAAATGATGTTGTAATCAGGATAAAGAAAAGAATGCTTTGGTGGTTTAGTCAAGCAAGAAAATAAATGATCGAGGAAAGAGTAACAAAGCAAATTTACGTTGCAGAAGTGAACATTCAAGTCGAGAGTCCTAGACGAAAGTTTATTGACCAAATTGGCGATATATGGAAGATAGGATAGATTAAGAGTACTATTAACCGACGAGCATGTATATGGTATATGGATGTAAAGGAGGTGAGAGTGGTATAGTCAGGATCGTACCATATGGAAGTCCGTAGTCTCTGCCTACTCCTCTAGGTGACAGACGCGAGTGTTTATGTCGTTATGTTTGTGTTAATACGTTAACTGCCTCGTAGGTCCAGTGGTTGTAGTTGTGCGACTGCTGATCAAGAGATCCAGGGTTAAAATCCCAAAAAAGCCTGATCTTCGTCCGTTTACCGTCCCATCCGACTATGAGCGTAAGGGAATAAAAGTGCACCTGTTGCTTGCTTGCCCATACACTCGTGCATTATAATCCTGTCCTGCGCCGACGGCTAGTTAAAATCTGGTGTAGAAGACATTATTAATATTTAATCAATAAAACTTTACATAAGGTGTATTCAAATTCAGAATTTTTTTTAAGTTGGGTGAAATTTAATAGATACAATGATATTGTCATTTTTGCACAGTTCCATTAAATTTATAAAACCTCTTTGAAAATCATAGTCTACAGAAAAAAGAATATTTCTTACATAGATTATTTATAACATATGTCAAAGTCAGGTCTAAGAAGATAAATTTTCCCATGTAAATCTATTCAACGTATATCTTAAAATCTGGTGTAGAAGACATTATTAATATTTAATCAATAAAACTTTACATAAGGTGTATTCAAATTCAGAATTTTTTTAAGTTGGGTGAAATTTAATAGATACAATGATATTGTCATTTTTGCACAGTTCCATTAAATTTATAAAACCTCTTTGAAAATCATAGTTTACAGAAAAAGAATATTTCTTACATAGATTATTTATAACATATGTCAAAGTTAGGTCAAAGAAGATAAATTTTCCCATGTAAATCTATTCAACGTGTATCTACTAACGTTTCAAAAATGCGAATAAAATCTAACGTTTTATAACAAACGGAATTCTTTTGTAAGGTGGGGTTAAATTCTATCCTTTTTTTTCTTATTATAAGCCAGTTAAGTAAAAATAAAGTTACAGTCTATGTATACTTCTCACTGTTTGGCACAGGACTTACTACTGAGAGGGTTTTAGAACAAAGAAGTGTTGTGAGTTGCCTCTCTGCCCCAATGCATGTTGTCGGTCTTTGCATGTCTTCGAATTTTTTTTTTGTATTATTTTATTTCTTAGACATGCAGGTTTTCTCACGATGTTTTACTTCACCGCCCAGCATGTGGTAAATCAGTACTTAAAATTGCAATTAACAATTTCATTCCTGCCGGCGGGGATCGAACCCGGGTTACTCGTGTACTGTGAAATTTACAGCGAGCGCTAAATCTTTGAGCTATGACGGCTCTAAGCCATAGATGGAATCGTAGACAGACAAGCTTGGCTTTATAAACCAGTGCCTAACTACAATTCCATCTATAAGTAAGTGGTGACAAAGCCCTTAAGATAATAAAAACCTATTCTCAATGCCTCAAAGACAGACATTGTTAATTGTTTTCCACTCGGTTGCTTTTCGCGTTACGACATACAAATCAAAGCGTTTAGTTCGAATGCGTGTAATGGCGACAGCAAAATATTGCTACTCGCTATGTGTCGATAGTAGAAAGGGGAAGAAAAAATTAATCATACAATTCCTGAGCAATGTCTCCGGTCTGCATTTTAATATATTTATTCGTAAAATTGCAACCATCGAGCTATCTGGTAGCTCAGATGGTTAGCGCTCGCTGTAAATATAACAGAACGCACGAGTAATCCGGGTTCGATCCCCGCCGGCACCGATGAAATTGTTAATTGCAATTTTAAGTGCTGATATACCACGTGCTCGGCGGTGAAGAAAAACATCGTGAGGAAACCTGCATGTCCGAGGAATAAGAAAAAAATATTTCGAAGACATGTGAAGTTCGCCAACACGCATTGGGGCAGCGCGGCGGACACTTCCTTGCCCTAAAACCCTCTCAAAAATAGGGGGAGGCCTGTGCCCAGCAGTGGGACGTATATAGGCTGTAACTTTACTTTACTTTACTTTATTCGTAAAATTAACTTGAGCTGTAAGTAACTCAACGCATTGGCGTTCTCCTTAAGTAACGCTTATGTAATTAATGTACATGTATTATAATCGCATATAATCCTTGAATATTCTTTATCTTGTTTAAACTTATGGCATCACTAAAATTATTGATTGTAAACTTATGAACTGGTTTACATTGTATGTTAGATAATAAAGTAAAATTTTGTTTAAATGTCTGAGAAATTTAAATATTGCGAGGAAATCTGATGTCAGCTAATTAGCACTTTTTACTTTAAGTTGCACGATGAACTGTTTCCCACTCCGTACTCAGACAGCAATCAATTTAAATCTTCTATGATCTTTTGATACTATATCTCAACAATTATATACAACTTCAAATTTTAATGTCTCTGACAAAATTGCACAAATTAATTTTGATTTAACAACGATTTACTACAAAGAATTACTCTAAGGATGAGTGGAGTATTAATATTTTTGTTTCCAGAAGAATTCGAGCAGTTAACAAAAGAGAACATAAGAAACATGGGCAAAGGAAAGCAATACAAGAATAAAGATGTCACTAAATTTCTTTATAAGAAATATAACAGTTCTACTTTGACAAAATCACGTACAATTTCAAATGTATCACCTTTCTCAAACACTAGTGTACTTCAATTGAAAAATAATATTTCAACTAATAACTTGCATAAAAACCACGGCAAAATAATGAGAGATTATTGTATGGAAACGGATTTTTGTATTTTGAGGCGCTATTGCAAAGCAAAAAAAAATAAAATGAAGAATAAAAAGGTATCCAGTTCAAAATATACAGTTATTAATAAAGCGACTGCAAATAAATTCAAAAAGTCAGTAGCAGATAGCAGTGGGTGTGGTGATAGCAAACAAACAACTAAAGGCATTGAAGATAACATTGAAGACTTTAATGCAAATTTAACGAATCTCGTTATTAAAAAGTTGAACGAATTACTCAGGGATTGGGTTAAAGACTATTTATTGAATAATAACGAAACTAAACAGAAAATCCAATCTGTTCTAGATTCAATTGTTCATAAACTAGAAACAAATAATAAATATGCGTCTTCTTGTTCAACGTATACAGTGGATATTCAAATTAGAAAATCAAAGTCAAATACGACCAACCATAATTATAGTTCAACGTCATCGCAAAGTTATAAGCACAAATCAACCATAGGAGGGGTCGAAGAGCCTGAATATAAAACTTTTTCAATGTTTACTGTACCAATGGCTGAAAAACATTTTTCGATTATAAATTCTACACTGACCATACCCAGATATTTTCATGCTTGCCATCATCAGATTGCCAGAAAAGTTATGTGTAATCCACTTTACAAAGTAAAAAGAACCTACAAAAAGAAAGTCTTGCTAACTATAAGTAAATCAAATAAATTACTTTCAAATACTCCAAGTGTAGATTTGTTAACAATTTCAACTCAATCATTAACGAAACACTTTGCAACATATCGAGATAAAAATACGATAAATAGAAATAGCAGAAAACGGCGAATAGTCCTTATTCCCAACTCATATTATAAATTTCCGAACTCTTTATCTATCACACATATAAATGAAGAATTTTTAAATAAATTGCAAAGACAAAATGAAACAAATCAACCCTTAGATACCATGCCTAGTCTGGTTAGAACTATTTTTACTGATGAATTATCAAATTTGGAAAGCAGTGAAAGAAGTTTACGTTTAGAAAACCTAAATGATAGTTCTACCATGGCTTATAAAAGCCTTAAACAAAATAAGTCAGCAGGTATTGAAAAAGTTGAACTGTTTCGAGAAAAAGAGACCAATATGTCTCCATGCGAAACTGTTAATGTTGCGTTAGGAAACGATTCTTTGTACAGTCAGTACCGAGAAATAGAAACAAATATGTCACTTCAACAACTAACCATTTCATCCCGAAATAGTACAAAAGAAAATTATTGTCCATGTTTGAATACTAAGGTATATGAAACAATGAGCTGTAAAGCGTGCTTTAAATCTAATGATGAAGGTGAAAGCGATCCTCTATTAACAATTGATTTTTTAGATCATAATATCGGTATATACAGTTCAAAAGAAGAATTAGATCAGAAGAAACCATCAGTTACTCGTAATAGTAAAATGAATTCTCTCAAGAATATATTTTCAACTAAAAGAAAGAAAAAATGTTGTTTCATGCAAAAAAAAGACGTATCAACAGATTCGCTCAAGTTTGAAAAAATACAAAATAAATGTTTTTCATATCTTTACAAAAAATCAGATAATAATTTTAATCACAATGAATTCTTAACCCATTTTCAAGATATGTTCAACTATTTTGCAAATTATAAGGGTAAAAGAAATATTAATTTGGACATTCACATAAATGTTTTTCCTACACTTGAAGATGATACTGGTATTCAATCTCAGAAAACAAAGTTAAACGATGTAATAACAAGCCAAACAGTAATTCTAAACGATGAATCAAATTTAATAAAACAACAAACTTTAAACAACAAACTTAGTAAGTCGAATGAAAAATTGAATCATTGTTGTAATTGCCAACCAAAAATTATATCACTTCTTGACGGCGCTTCCAACCATTTAAAGTATGTCAAAAACAAAGAGACTTGTACTGGAATTTTAGAAAAGTCTGATCAAATTCCAAGAAATATCAATGATCAAATAACAACTACTGCTGATTTAGAAATAGCGCAAGAAATTTTTGAACTTCGAACTATAATCAAAGATTTGGCAGTAACCGCTGAAAAATTTGTAAACGAGCATTTAAATGCTAAAGTGGATACTGAGAAATCTAATGTAGAGCCTATGGTTTTGTTCAGCACAAATGTAGAATGTAAGCCTCTTACACATACAGACAGAGCTATAAGAAAAGCATTAGTGTGTAAAAAAAGAATATCTAAGGGTACACAGTTGGCTAATAATTCTTCCTGTCAAGTACTTTCGGATATAATAATAAATAAAGAAGCCCAAAAGAAGAATACCCAAGAATTTCAAGCTCGACTTATGAAGAAAAGCACATCGTATAACATAATAGATAGTGAAACAATACTTAAAGTGACAGATATGACCTCAGCAGCTCAAACATTTACACCAAATGAAGTTATGGATGCAGCATTGACATGTTCTTTACCAAAATGTAAATCATTATACGATATATCTGTCGATTCAAATAAAAATAAATTTGTGGCGTATTATTATGAAGAGTTTCTTAGAAAACCAACTACAGATAAATTTTGTAATTCACCATGCCCGGCCTCCACATCGCACACTGAAAACTTTGAGTTCTGCAATTTGAATAACAAATCTTTTTTGTCAATTATGCCTAACAATGAAAAACAAAACAAACCAAACAATGAAGAACATTGCACGAAATGTTTACCAGTAGACAATAATAATTGTTCAAATAACCAATTTACTTGTTCTTCTGTATATATCAATGTTGACAGTAAGCCATGTGAGAAAAAAATTACAATTCGAAACCGAAGAGGTATAGGTTTTCGAGAAGGTTTCCTTTACTGCTTACTGCTTTGGATTCCAGTGGCTGTAATATTGTGGTTATATTATGTCTACATTATCAAGGAAAAATTCAAATCTAGATTTTTTCCACCTGATAGTTTGTCGAAATCATTTCATTATCGAAACGGATCACGTTTAAATATTACACTCTCGGATTTAGGATTTTAGATGTATGTTTTCTTTTTTTGGAAATAAAAATGTTATATATTATTAATTTCTTTATTCAAACAAGCCTTTATATATGTTTACTGTTCTTAAGAAGTAAAAAAAGTAATATTGTATTGTTGCAGTGAACTCAAGTATAAAGAGATTAAAATGCAATCCGAAGGAAAGTTTGATCTTGAAGTAGAAGAAAACAAGCTTGCTGAAACAAAACCAATGACTTTTTACCGAAAGCAATTGATTATTACTGAAGGTATTATTGATAATTTTTCAAAGGATACTGAATCTGCGAAAAACTCTACAACGAAGAATTTTGTTATTAAAACAGAATCTGTTTCGAGCTCATCTCCTATAAAAATAAAAATTGATACATCAGAACAAGAAATAAATGAAGAAAAAGAAAGATATGAAGAAGATTATGAAAAAATAGTTCTTCATGAAATTCTGTCCGATGGTGTTGTGGAAAAATATCCGAAGCTTCCTTATTATCTAGTTATCCCTAATCCAATAGAAGAACTTATAACAAAATTAAACGGTATATTCAAATCTAAATGTAAATCATTAGAAAAGGAACATTTTATTGTTGATTTCAATAAAAAATTAATGACTAAATCCAATCGAAATTTTGTAAATTTGTCTCCTAAACAAGATTATTTGCCACCTACTGTACAAAGTTTATACACTTCAGATACGAGCAAGTACATTTTAGAGAGTGATTCAGGAAAATACTTCGAAGAAGAACAATTAAGTGTTAACGTAGCGCAAATTAAAAATATATGTCAATGTAATATTAATAACTACCCACTTAAATTAAGAAATAATACAGATTGCACTTTAAAGAAAAATAATTCAATTACAAATACTTTATCAAGAAAAAGCAGTTATTCAAGTTCTTTAGAATACAGCTCTAGCGAAATTAGTAATACTACTCTTATCGGTCCAAATGTATCTAATATGCTTTTTAATAATTCAAGTTCGTTCATTCGTTCTAAAGACATTTTCTTAGGATCTGATTATACACTCACACCTAGTTGTGAAAGCGTAAGTGTAAATAAAATAAGCGAGATTGTTGCAGATTACAGTAAAAATGAGCAAGTCCCAAATATTGCTGACATAATAACATTTCCTAATATCAAACCTTTATCTCATTTAAAAGAGGATTATAAATGCGAGAACTACGTTATGGTTGCTAACACCTTATCGAACATAAAACCATGCATAGGCAATTTGAAAAATATAGATGATAATAATTCCTTGGACGTTCAGTTACAAATCCCTGAAAATTGTCCAAACGACTATAAAATGCATTTGAATCCACCTCAAGTTACAGACATTAAACCAATGGTCGCGGAAAATCTAAACGGAAATAACACCTATAACAGAGAATTTAAAATTGAATTTACAAAAGACGAGTTATTGGAAACACTAACTATGGCGCTTGATGTTACTATTAATAGACTCGAAAAAACTCTGAGTGAAAAAATAGTCAATGAATTAAAAAAATCATTATCGTCTTTTAAAAATTCATTACACGTACCTTGTATGCCTCAAAAAATCCTATGGAAAGCGGAAACAGAAACAATAGGCGATAGTTTAAACGTAAATGATAAGGTGTCTATTGAAAATATTGTATTACCTGATAAAAAAATCAATATGGAAAAAGATGAGTATTTCCAATGCAATTTAGTAAGCACATCATTTATCGATACTCATTTTCATAAACTACAGCTCAAAAAGCGTACAGAGAGTTTACGAAAAATTTCAGTAAGAAACAATCAAAATTTAAAGGAGCCAAAACTTATTGGAGATTATTTGGAGAATATAAAATCACCCACAACACAAAGCACAATAGAAACAACCATTATGGATAGAGGTGATTCTACAACTATTTCGATTGAGGACACAACTGTAGAGAGATTAGATAAATTTCGATATCTTAAAACATTGTTTCGATGTCCTATCAGGTTTTTAATAGAAAACGCTTTTGTAATTATTAGTGTTCCCACATTTTTATTTATTTTGTTTATCCTTTATGGCAGCATTGTACTAGCAATGAAGCTCTAGTGATGTCTTAACAGATTTTTGTTGTTTTATTAACACTATGATATCTTTTTTGTCTAAATGTCCAACCGGTTGATCAATAGTGCGTCTATGTTAATGAAATGATCACCAAATACTCATTGACACACAAAATAGATTGTCAAAAAGACTATCCAAAGTAATTTCTGTTTATCTTTTGTCTTTGATTAATATTAAGTCAAACATATTGTCGTATTAACCTTGCAAAGGATTTGTTTCCGAAAGGAGCTGCTACATGTTTATATAACATGATGTCCATACTACGGCTTTTAGGAAAAGTTGTAGTTAAATTTTATAAGTTTTTGCCAACGAAACAAAAGAGAATTAGTTTTTTTAGGAATCTTGCAGATGTTCAAACTGTAAGACACCCAAAAAACAACCCAGTTTTTATTTTTTTTATTCCAAAGGATTTCTATTGCGTTCTCATTTGTTTTGAACGCCCCTCGCATACTGGTTAAACCAGTTTTTTAAGTTGGTACTGATGGTATGTGGTTGCTGTGGACCATAGAAATCTACATCTATCCTTGATTACCCTACATCTATCCCCGATTGATGAGTAAATGTACATCAGTATTTTTATTGCGTATTTTCAAATAGTTTTTCCATATTAACGAGAATGGGAAAGGAATAGGATAAATCGTCCGACTAAGTTCAACTTCTAACGTGAGGTCACTCGACAGAGCCAACTAGGCTGGACAGCGTTTAGGGGACTACGAGTCACTTTCTCGACACATATTTCTCAAAACCTTAAAACCAGTGCATGCTGCCAGTGATGACAGATGGAAAAAATCCCTAGAAAATTTCCTTTCTCTTCTTTTTTTGAAGACCCCTAAGGTCTTCAAAAAAGAAGAGATTTACAATTCGACTGTTGTTTTTTTTTTCTTTTTCTTTTTATATACGATAAGTCTTTACCATTTGAAAACCGATTTTGATGATTTTCCTTTATAATTCATTCTATTAAATAGGTTATACTTCAGGGGTTACCCCATATTAATTTAGGGACATTGTAGTTATGTTATTCTTTGTTCCACTCAAAAAAAAGAAAACATTAACTTCTAAGCTAAGACATAGTGCATAGAAGAAATAAAGCCCCGATTTCGAAATGTGAAATTATTATGTTTTTCATAGTTCTTTGAAGTAGGCTTTTATTTTTAATTAAAAGTAAAAGTAGAAATTGGGTAAGTGAAACAGAAAACTAAGTGGCCTAAAGTAAAAGCCTAAGTAAAAGTTCCAGTCACACCACCACCATACTATGTACTAGAACAATCGGGAAATCCTTTCGTTTAACTGAAGAAAAATCAGTTGAGCGTTAGGACTAGAGATGAAACGGATAGCTGTTTGACCGGATAACGGATACCGGATATTCGGCCAGTATTATCGCCGGATAGCCGTATATCTGCCGAACATTTCCGTTTGGTGCATCGCAAGAAGCGAAAAGTAAAGTCAGTGCAAAGTGTTCGCGATCGTGACCCTTATATTTGGTGGGCAGGTATTGCTACACAATACCCAAATTTATCAAAGATTGCCAAAATCTATCTTTCAGCACCCTGCAGCAGTGTGTACAGCGAACGTCTTTTTTCTGAAGCTGGCCCTGTTTATGAAGACAGTAAAAACCGCTTGTTACCTTTCAATCGAGTTACCTTTCAGTTCTAGGCTTGTCGATACCGCTGTTTTTCTAGGTATTACTATTGACGCGAAGATTCAATGGGCCCCATATATCTAAATTAGCAGGCAGACTTAGTTCTGCAGCATATGCTGTAAGATCGGAAGTCTAACCAATGTTGAAACAGCTGTATTAGTTTATTTTAGTTACTTTTATAGCGCAACGTCTTATGGAGTCTTTTTATGAGGTAATGCGACTGACAGTGCCGTACGGGCATTTTATAATTTAAATTGTAAAGCGTCGCTTAGAGAAATATTTAAGGAAATAAAAATAATAATTTTTTTCATCGCAATATATTTATGAAAATGTAATGTATGTACATAAAAACATAAATAGCTTTCAGAAGAATAAAGATGTTCATACTTTAAACACTAGGAACAAATATAAGCTTGTAATACCAGTAAGTATTAGACTCCACAGAATTAGTAATTCATTTATGGGGCAACAGGTTAGTCCTAACTTAGGACTAACCCGTAGGCGGAGTAAATAGTTCCTGCTAAAAGGCAGTGAAAAAGACCCAACGAGTAAAAAAATATTTTTATTATAATATTATGCCCACTGCAGAAGGTTTTCTCTCAAAAATGGCTTTAGGATTTATCTTTAGCCCAAGGTTAATAAAGAAATACCCAAAAATGTTCTGTGTTGTTATGTGTCGTATTTTGAATGACGAAAACCGGAGCTTTTTTATTGATGACGAGGCATTTCATCTTAGTTCTCAGAGGTGACGATGCAACCGCATTTTGATTTATTTGACTTTCCAAGCCGAAGACGAACCACGTTTTCACAGAATTCCAGCGTAAAATAGCAACTCGATGCTGCTATTTCGTTTGGTGAGTGTAGAGTTTGGGGTGACGGCGCTTCTGCATCTTGATTTTTCTTGATTCATAATCGAGCATCGATATAAACGTGAAATTCAACAGCATCCAGTTATGAATACGTATACTGTGTGCTCGTATTTCAGCCTTATTCTATGGAAAACAATATCCATTACCACTATTATTCCGATCAGGGGGTCAGTATTTTCATTATTCGATGCTGCCAGAGACAAAAAAAATAATAATAAATGTAATTAACAAAATATTGAATCGGCAAAAATGTCATCTAGTCTTAATATATTGTTACAGCTTATCAAAAGTCGAGGCTGAGATTGTAGATCTCGCCTATAGACTACTTCATAGAGGAATATTTGCCATATGTGCCACGCTCGACAGTTGCAGCGCTAGCGGGTTTTTTATAGAATAAGGGTGACAAATGAGCACACAGCACCTGGTGGTAAGTGGATGCTATGGCTCATAGACATCTACATTTATCCTCGATTAAGAATCAAAATGTAGATGCGTTGTGACCCGTGAGGACTAAGATGCAAACGAAACACAGCAATATTAAGCTGATATTTTACGCTGGTGTTCTGTGAGAGCGTGGTCCTTCTCCGGTCGAGCCGAACCCTTCATGCTACAACCATAAAATAGCTGCAGCGTGACTCTAACACGTATAGATTTCACCATTTTTTAGTTGATATTACAGACAACTCCTAATTAATTTCCCTTTGTCACGTTTTTCAACACCGACGAGAGCATGTTGGATAGTATATATAGATAGATTATATCACTATTCATAACTTTTACTGCTATGCTTTATTTTTCGTTGATTAAATAAAAATACTAGTTTTATTAAAGTTATTAAGTAAATTAAGAACTTAATAAATTGCACTACGAGTATATAAAAGTTTCGCGGAAGTAGACCCAGTATATTCTAAGGCAATTGAGAAGAGACTTATCAATTGTGAATTTATCGTTCATTTGACCGGTTCGCAACATGGTATTGAAGATTGCAATTACATTTTCTAATGTTCCATATCAAAGGATTGACAGGATCTACGGCCAAAGAGTATAGTAATGTTCAATGACCGACATTAATGAGCGGGTCTCACAGATCACAGATTACTGAAACTCGAAATGATCCATTTAAATGTTCCCGACCCTAATGACCCGATTCGTAAGACGAATCAATACTTGAATGATCAGGTCACTAGAAATGAATGAATGACACATGTCTAATCTGGAGGTGAATTTCTTTCCAAAAATGCCACCCTAATATCTACCGCCCGGGGCCATGTCCTTTCATAGTTCCTCAATATTTCGCCACTGGACGCTATGCTCTTTGTCAGCAACCTATGGATAGAACCTATGCACGTGGTATCAAGGGTGACATCCGCAGTAGAATTCAAATAAACGATTTTTCCAATATTTTTAACTATTTATATATATAGAAATTACAAGTTGAAGTGGCAATTTAATTCAAAACACTAATAAATCATCAGCGTTACCCTGTTAACAATGAATGTTATAGACACATGTCAATCGTGAATGATTTTTTTCATTTGACCCGGGTTGCGTCAAAGTATTGATGATTGCAATTAGATTTTTTGTACGTTTCGTATCAAACGATTGACAAGACCTACGACTAATGAGTATAGTAATGTCCGACGACCTACATTATGAAGCGTGTCTCACAGATCACAGTATTAGAACTTGAAATGGTCCATTTGAATGATCGACCCTAATGACCCGATTCGTAAAACTAATCAATATTTGATAGATTACTTCACTAAAAAATGAATGAATGAATGATACATGTCCAGAATATTAATTAATTTTCATTCATTGCGCAGCGAAATATTTCATCCCACACAATATTACATTCAATTTGCCGTTTTACTCTTTCATTTCTATATGTTTTTTTTGTTTTTTCTTAATGTATGTAGAGTCTAGTCTAGTCTCGTGATTATTGTTTGTTTATTGTTTTATTATTATTGACTGTTAGGATATATTTAAAGGTTATTAAGATAGACCACTGTTCAAACTACTCGAAATAGACGAACCGAACCACACTCAATAACAGCGGCTGTGGTTCGCCACAACAAATGCTGAGTGCGACCACTTTTCGTCACGTTCGGCAACGTGTAATACTTTATTATTAACTTTCAAAATGAGAAAATTTGTACAATATGGCGTTGCACTTATGTGGCAACATAAATGTCTTCTTTTTCTTATATTACGACTTGCTTGTTGTGGTACCTTCACGGCTATAGGACAGAATTACACTGATTCAGCAATTAGCACCATTTTAGCCAACAGGCAATATAAAAAGCAATTACAGCATCTGACTTCTTTGAAAACGGTAGTCAGTGGTACTGGGCACAGGCGATGCGTGAGAATGTCCAAAAGGAAATCCAAAATTAAATATTTTTTAATCACGTCAGTCACCTCAGTCCCCCGTGACCATGAGTGCTGGAAAGCACCCGAAACATCGGGTATTAAAA